GCAGCCAGGTAGCAGAGGGAGACAGAAACAAAGGGGGTGCTCACTGAAGATGTCCCTTGTTCTTTCCTGAGCTCCGGGCACGGCCAGGGAGGCAGGGGCCTAGACTAAGTTTGGGCCCTCGAGTTTCAAAACCCTGGTCAGGGGGCTCCACCTCCCCCGTACTTCCCCAACCCCACCCTCCTTACTCCCTGCCCTTCTCTTACCCACCCCCAACCTTCACCCCGCCACCCCCCAGCCCCATCCCAACCGTGGGGTCCTGATTCCCAGGCTCACTGTTCAGGGGTCCACTGCTCCAGCCCCCCAGCCACCAAGTCCCTCTGCTGCTGCCTCTGTCCCCACCCCCGGCTTCAGAATTTAGCTTGAGAAATTCCCCGAATCCAGCAGCCCTCACCCCTGACAAGGCAATCACAGTTAATTAGAGGATTATTGGGCTAAGTGAGGACACTTGGGTTATGTACCAGGTCTGTTACTTTTCATCTCTGAGCCTCAGATTTTGAAAACAAAAAATGACTCCGGACTTTCAACGCTTGTTTTGAGGATTAAATGAACTAACTTGACATTTCTCCAAACACAATGTGTTTTATTGGTAATTTAAGTGTTTGTGGGTAGAGGGCCTAAACAAACAACAACAAAAGCACGTTTAAGCAATGCTAGGTCAAATCAAACGTTCCACTGCAAAACTTATCAGAGCCTTTAATGTGTTAATATACAATAAGCAGATGCAACATGGCTCTAAGAAACCATAGGGCAGCGGTTCTCAACCTGTGGGTCGCGACCCCTTTGGGGGTCGAACGACCCTTTCACAGGGGTCGCCCTACCATCGGAAAACACATATATAATTACATGTTGTTTTTGTGATTAATCACTATGCTTTAATTATGTTCAATTTGTAACATAGAATGCCAGTGTCACCACAACATGAGGAACTGTATTAACGGGTCGCGGGTCACGGCATTAGGAAGGTTGAGAACCACTGCCATAGAAGGAAGAGTTTCTCCGATCAATTTGATTACAGAGCCCTTATGGGTCTCTAATGGGCTGAGAGCCCCACTGGCTGTTCTGGGAGAGCTTTGTCACGTGACCTCCCAGGTGGGCAGAGCTAGTGGGGTGGCCTCTCTAGGCTGTCCTGGAGGTCAGCCTTATTGGTGGTCTTTGGGGAAAAAGCAAAATTTCCCCAGCACATCGTTTCTCCCAGAGGCTTCCATTGGTGGACTGGGGCAGGAGGCCTGTGAACCCTCCCTCTAAGGGTTACTAAGAGATGAGGGGCCCTTCCTTTCATGGTCACCCACCCTTTCCACAGTGACTCTCATTTCCACCTCATCCCACAACCTTCCCATTTAAAAATAAAACGATTATATTACACTTTTTAATTCCAAAAATACTTTTATTATTTTTTAAATTTTATTTATTGATTTTAGAGAGAGGGGAAAGAAAACATCAATTTGTTGTTCCACTAACTTGTGCACCCATTGGTTAATTCTTGTATGTGCCCTGACCAGGGATCGAACCCTCAGCCTTGGCCTATCAGGATGCTGTAACCAACGGAGCTCCCCGACCAGGGCCAAAAGGTCTTTTAAAGATGTTTTTAAGAGAAGTTACTCACTAAATCAAAAGCCTTCACCATTTCTGAATCTTTCTTCTCCAAGACTGGCCCCTCAGGCAGGATTTTTTTTCTCTTATTTTGATTGATTTCAGAGAGGAAGGGAGAAGGAGAGAGAGAGAAACATCAATGATGCAAGAGAATCATGGATCGGCCACCTCCTGCATGTCCCCCACTGGGGATCGAGCCCACAACCCAGGCCTGTGACCCTGACCGGGAACGAACCTGGGACCCTTCAGTGTGCAGGCCAATGCTCTGTCCACTGAACCAAACCGGCCAGGGCCAGGCAGGATTTTGAGGGATGTGTTTAGAGCAGCCAGCCCCCCAAAACTGGGTCTTCCTAGGGCGGCTGCTTTCCCAAGGCCGCAGGGAGAATGGCTGCAGGGCACCGCGGGTGGGCAGGCTGCTGCCGCATAGAATCTTCGTCCCAGGTATTCCAGGCTGCTCGCGTGGGGCCCTGCCAGTGAACTTGCTGTGTGTGCAGCGGACCAGAAATGGCAGGTGAGCCAGTGGGTTTGAATAAGTGCATTATTCTTGTCATGTATCCAGTGGCATCTAAATACTAGAGCTATTTAGCATATAGCAGTGGTTCTCAACCTGTGGGTCGCGACCCCTTTGGCGATCGAACGACCCTTTCACAGAGGTCGCCTAAGACCATCCTGCATATCAGATATTTACATTACGATTCATAACAGTAGCAACATTACAGTTATGAAGTAGCAATGAAAATAATTTTATGGTTGGGTCACAACATGAGGAACTGTATTTAAAGGGCCAGAAGGTTGAGAACCACTGACATATAGTGTCATCCATTTACAAGTATATAAACAGGCTTTCTTACAGTTTTACATAATTCCTTTTTCTCCTTGAATACCTATTCTACTCTCCCCACAGAATTTTATCCTAATATAAATATTTTTACTCTCAGAAGTCTTTTACTGATCACAATAGAATATGTTCCTGCAAGAAAATATTTGTGAAACAGAAATTTAATTTCTTTCTAGATTTAGGTATTGGTAGTACTCAATTGATTAAAACAACTTAAATATATTATACACTTTAGCAGTTAATTAATAAAAAAAATTTTTAGAAAATTTTCTCTTGCTATAGATGGGACTGTTGTTTTTGTTTCCCCCAAAAACTCGTGTATCCATGGGTATATATTACTGCTAGAATAAGATAGGGTTCAACATCAATTGCAACTTGTGATTATTATAAATGGAAGCACTGAGAAATCTTGTTCACACAAATAAGTGGATGGAAATGAAAGGCACTCTGTTAATTGCATTAAATGCCAAAAATTACAGTGGTCTATCGTCAAAAATTACTATTTAAAGATTTCACTCACTTTATACCTCTGGCCCCATAAAAGCTTCCATAAGCCCAGCCAGTGCGCTCAGTGGTTGAGCATCAGCCTATGAACCAGGAGGTCACAGTTCAGTTCCCGGTCTGGGCACATGCCCAGGTTTTGCACTCGGTCCCCAGTGGGGGGTATGTGGGAGGCAGCCAATCCATGGTTCTCATCATTGATGTTTCTCTCTCTCTCTCTCTCTCCCTCTCCTTTCCTCTCTGGAATCAATAAAATATATATATTTTTAAAAGCTTCCATAAAATAACAATAACAACGTCTTTTATTATTATGTAATAATCATGATTGTAATCATGACTATTACTGCTGGCCCCTCCTCCTGGGCCTTGCTGGCCACCTGTCTGAAGCAGTTCCCGCCCCCCACCACCCCCTTCTCCCTCCGCCAACCCCACCCCCCGCAGCCATTTATTTCTGCTGGAGCCCTTTGCACACCTGCCCTTGTCTTTTCTCTGGGCGCTGGCGGCTGGGCCTGCGCTGGGGGCAAATCCGGTAAGTGGTGCCGAGTTGAATCCTGTCTTTTTAAGGTTGAATCCTGTATTTATTTAAAAGTTTCATCTTTTGTTCATTGTGAATTGTTTTTGGGTTAATTTTGAACTTTTAAAAAATTGCTCTAAAGTGTGATTTCCATTGGGTTTTGTGGGCGTCCCCTGAAGTTCTGTGTCTGAGGTGCGTGCCTCAGTGGCCTCCCCAGTCCTGGCCCTGGTTTCTTGCTTCTCTGCTCCGTCACCTCAGCGGAGATTCTAGGCAGGTTCCCTGGTCCAGGGGCTCCTGTTGCAGATAAAGGACATGTGACAACAGTCCAGCACCAACAAGAGGGTGCCTGTCGCCCTAGCCGGTTTGGGTCAGTGGGACCCTGCAGACTGAAGGGTCCCGTGGGGTTCGACTCCGGTCAAGGGCACGTACCTGGGTTGCAGGCTCGATCCCCGGCCTTGGTCAGGGCTCTCTCACATTGATGTGTCTCTCTCTGTGTCTGTCCCCCTCCCTTCCACTTTCTCTAAAAATCAATGGAATAACCTCCTCGGGTGACGATTAACAACAACAGAAAGAGGGGGCCCGTCACCCATCTCTCCGCCCTCCGCCTGCCTCTCTGCCAGGGCCTCTCTATGGCAGCCCCTCTGCGGGGCCAGCAGCCTGTGTTCTCTGGGGACTAGTATCTGACTTCTGTCCCCGTCTCTGATGGCCTGGTCACTTCACCTATGGGCTTACTCCCCTCCAGGCAAGGAAGCACATGACAAGAGCAGCCTCCTCTCCACCTTGTACCTGCCCCAGGCTCAGGCCTGGGTACATGGTGGACTCTCAATAAACATTTGCCCAACTCCGCCGCCTCCTGCCCTTTTCCACCCCCCACCCTGACCCTCGAAAGCCCTGTAATAGTGATGATGGTGGTGGAGATGATACGGTAACAGTGGAGTGATGATAGCAGCTAATATTTATTGAGGGCTTGCTGTACGCCAGGTACCTCACATGCACTTTCTCATTTAAGTTTGACATCACTCCACGAGGAAGGTATTAACATTATCTGCATTTTGCAAATGAAGAAGCCGAGGCATGGAAAGGTTGACTGCCCTGTCCACGCCCACATTACCAAGAAACACCAGGCAGAGCGGCCATATGGCCCGTGGAAACCAGCACAGAATGAAAATCAGGGCCCCTTGTCCAAAAATTTAATAATTTCAAAACGGCAACAGCAGAACATTAAAGCACATGACCGCAAAGGTCCGTGCCCCGAAGCCAGCTCTGGTACCAGCATTTGAATCCAGAATCCGACTCCAGGACCACAGCACTAGCGCTGGGAGGAAGTAGCAGTAACCACTGTGGTTCACTAAGCACCTGCTATGTGCGTTGTGCGAAATCTTCAAAAACCCTCCCAGCTACCCCGAGGCATTTTCACCCTCACACCTCAGGGTGAGTTACCCCCCAGGGGTACCCAGGGGAGCTAGGATTTGAACACAGAACCAACTCCAGAGCCTGTGTCTTTCCCCCACCACACAGCCCCTCTGGCTGACTCGGCTGATCTTTTAGGACCTTTACCCGAGGGGGCCGTCACTCGGGGCCCAGCTGCCACTCGGCTCAAGACAGGAAGGCGTCCCAGGTCTGCAGGTACTTCCAGCGAGGATTCTGCTTCCACGGAGACGGGTGCAGGTGAGCGCCGCTCCTCGTCCAGCGGGAGGGGGTGGGGACACAGGACGACCTGTCGCTTCGTGGCCAGGCTTCTCCCCAGACCTCTTCTCCCTGCTCAGCCACACGCTCCAGGCTGAGCTAGCTCCGGGCCGGAGGAGCCAGCCTGTCTCCTCCCCGCTCTCCTCCCCACACAGCTATCAGCACCCGCAGCCCCCGGGCCACTTGCAGTGGGGCCGCCGCCATTCGGAGCCGCTTGTCACCCAGCCAGGACCCCCGCTGGGGGTGACCCGCAGGGGCTCCGAGCCCACCTACCTGCCCTCAGCGGCTGGGGGTTGGGGCGGGGCCGAGGCCCAGGCCGTCTGTGACACCGATCCTGGCCTCCAGGGGCTGGCCAGCCGGAATGAGGCGCTTGGTGGCAGTTCCTGGAAGTTCCTGTTGACATCATGTGAGTCTTCAGGGGCCCAGCAGTGGGCACAAGTGGGGTCTGAGATGGGGCTCCTGCTCTGTCTCAGAGCCAGGTTTATACTTCCTTCCATCCCTCTTCCTCCTGGATTCCCAGCCAGAGGGACCCCCCCGCGCCCCAGCCCCCTCCAGCATTGCTCTCTGTGTCCTAGAAGCAGAATACCTTGGTGTCTGTGGAGTGAAACCACAGTTTCAAATGCCAGCTCCACCACTTAATAGCTGTGTGATCGTGGGCAAGTCACTTAACCTCTCTGGGCTTCCATTTCCTCATCTACAAAAGGGCACTGATAATAGTACCTACTGCATCAGGTGGTGTGAGAGTGTGATGATTCGTATGTGTGATGTGATCAGCATACCTGGCATGGAGGAAACATTAAATGTTAGTGATTATTTTATAAACTATAGTATTGCTGTAATCAGCCCTATCTACCAGAAACATGTCACGTACATATATATATATTTTTTTTTTTTGGTCACAGCCTTATTGAGATATAATTCACAAACCAAAACTTTAACAATTTAAAGCATATAATTCAATGTAATATAGTATATTCAGAGCTGTATACACATTACTGCTATCTAATTTTAGAAGATTTTCGTCACTCCAAAAAGAAACCCATTAGCAATCATTCTCCATCCACCACTAGCAACCACTCATCTACCTTCTGTCTCTGTGGGCTTGCCTGTTCTGGACATTTCATAGAAATAGAGTGATATAATATGTGGCCTTTTGGGTCTGTCTTCTTTTAGTCAGATATATACACACACACACACACATACATATGTGTATATATATATATATATATATATATATATATATATATATATTATTTCAGAGAGGAAGGGAGAGGGAGAGAGAAATAGAAACATCAATGATGAGAGAGAATCATTGATCAGCTGCCTCCTGCACTCCCCACACTGAGGATTGAGCCTGCAACCCAGGCATGTGCCTTGACCAGGAATCGAACCATGACCTTCTGGTTCATAGGTCGATACTCAGTATAATACTGCCTGAGCCCAGCATGTTATTTTCTAGCTTCAGATGCCATGGAGCAGTACTTCATATCTTTTTGTGGCCAGTTAATGCCCTGCTATATAGATATGCTGCTTCTGTTTTATTCAGGCATCAATTGGTGGACATTTGGGTTGTTTTTGCTTTTTGGCTATTATGAATTATATTGTTAATGAGCATTCATGTACAAAGTTTTGTGTGGACATACATTTTTATTTCTCTTGGGTAGAGAAGTGTTACCATAAATCCAGTAATTCCACCTAGGAGTAGAATTACTGAATTGTATGATAACATGTTTAATATTTTGAGGACCTGCCAGATTGTTTTCCAAAGTTCACATATTTTACAATACACATATGTAATTTAAAACTTTCTAGTAGCCACACTAAAGAAAAATAAAAAACAACAGGTAAATTTAATTTTAGTAATGTTTCATTTTACCGAATATATGAAGAGGTATATGTATATATAATATTGAAACTATGATTTCAGCATGTAATCAATATAAAAATTATTACTGAAACATTTTAGGTGTTTGTGTTAAGCTCCAAAGTCTCCATGTGCATTCCAGCACGTCTGATGGGGGCAGCTCCATCTCAGACCTCAGCAGCCACTGTTATAAGTAGTTGCATTAGAGACATAATTCTGACGGGACTCTGAGCTCTAGGGGGCAGGACTCTGTGCACCCACAGAGCTTGCATGCAGCCAAATAGATGCCCCATGAGTGAGTGAATGAATGAACGGATCCAGTTTTCCCTGACAGCTGATGGAGATCACAGCTACTCCCAGAAGTCTCAGCCTCAGTCAGACCCTGTCCAGGAGCTCTGGGCCCCACTTCAGAGCATGGACCTTGAGGTACAGCAGGAAATGGGTGGGGGCGGGGCGGGGGAGGCCATGCCGGCCTCTAAGCTGCCCAGACCTGCTGGAGGAGGGCTCCGTGGGCCCCGGGACTGTATTTGGGGTGGTGGCATACATGTGCACGCATGTGTCTATGTGGGTGTGCGCGCGTGTGTGATGTTCTCTGACCCTGCCCGTGGCTGTAGAGGGAGCAGGACAGCCGGGATGTCGTGTGTGGCATCTGCATGGACAAGGTGTGGGACAAGCCGGAGGACAAGCGGATCTTCGGCATCCTGCCCAACTGCACACACGCCCACTGCCTGGGCTGCCTGCGCACCTGGCGGAAGAGCCACCAGCACTTCCCGCTGAATGTCATCAAGTCAGTCATGGAGAGGCCAGGGGGACGTGGGCCTCGAGGCCGGCCTGTGAGCTGTGACTTTCTCCTCCTCCAGAGCCTGTCCCCAGTGCCGTGTCTATTCCAGCTACATCATCCCCCACAAATTCTGGGTAGGTGAGGGGGCCGAGAAGGAGAAACTCATCAGGAACTTCAAGGCTCGGACCAGGTGAGGCTGGGAGGGGGGATGGGGTTTAGGGAAGAGGGGAGGACTGCCCCTGACCCAGCTTGGCCATGGTTCCCCATCCAGGTCCCCCAAATCCTGGAAGTTCAGAGTGATGGAGATGGCAGGCGAGGGGCTGAGCTGTTTCCACTATTTCCAAGAGCCAAATGAATAAACTGCAGTTTCTCTTCCAGCCTAGCTCAGAAGTGATACAGGCCACTCAATCTCTGCCTGGCTTTTATTTCAGACTAGGGGCCCGGTGCACGAAATTCGTGCACGGGTGGAGTCGCTAGGCCTGGCTGGCTATCAGGGCTGATCAGGTTCCCCGCCTCCTCCTTCCCTTGCCTCCCGCTTGCTGCTGCCACACAGTTCCCCGCCTCCCTGCTTCCCCCCACTCCTCCTTTCCTCCCTGCCTGTGTCTGCCACCACCCACCCCCAGTTCCCCAGGCCCCAGGCCCAATCAGGCAATTGGGACCTGCCAGCCAGGGGGAGGGGCCAACTGCCACTGCCGTGGGCAGGAAGGCCGATCAGGGCCTGCTGGCCGGGGGTAGGGACAGGGGGAGGAACCCGGGAGGTTGGCCGCTGGTCCTGAGGAGGGAGTCGGCCCTTGGTTCCCCTGGGAAAGGGGCTGTGTCCGCTGCCACCCAGTCCCAGTTCCCTGTCCCAGCCTGGGGGCCGGCCCCAACTGGGCAATCAGGGCCTGCTGGCCGGGGGGAAAGACCAGGAGGTTGGCCAGCAGGCCCCATCGGCAATGGGAGCCTGTGGGCTGGAGGCAGCTCCTGCATTAAGCATCTGCTCCCTGGTGGTCAGTGCGCATCATAGCTACCGGTCGTTCTGGTTCTTCCATCATAACGGTCACTTAGGCTTTTATATATATATAGTTTTAAAGCAGAAAAACAAATTGGTATGAGTATATGTTGTTTGCTTAGATCAGGGGTCCTCAAACTACGGCCCGCGGGCCACATGCAAATACAAATATTGTATTTGTTCCCGTTTTGTGTTTTTACTTCAAAATAAGATATGTACAGTGTGCATAGGAATTTGTTCATAGTTTTTTTTTAAACTATAGTCCGGCCCTCCAACGGTCTGAGGGACAGTGAACTGGCCCCCTGTTTAAAAAGTTTGAGGACCCCTGGCTTAGATGATATTTGAAAACAGGGGTCTCTGAGGAGACTAACAGGTAGCCCTTGGAGACAGGGACATGTGGGCAGTTTTTCATCCCTTGGGAAGGGTAGGCATTTATCCAAAATCTGTCTTAATTTCACCTTCCCAAAGAGTTTATTGCACTTGCTCTATGCAAAGTATCTTTGGATAAAGGGTGGGATACAGAAGGTCTAGTCCACCCATAAGACATTCAGCCTTGTTGGGAAGACACCTGGATTTTCCCCAAGAACTGAAACCGCCCCATCAACAAAGTGACTGGCACAGAGACTTGGCTGAGTGTCACAGGGGAGAGCGTCTGCACTGGTGCTGCACCGAGTGGGGTCCTCAGGGGAGGAGACCCCCAGGCAGGGAGAGGTCCAGGTGGGGAATGCTGGCAGCTGGGAGCACCCAGGCCCGGATGTGAGAGGGACCAGGTAGGTGGAGGGCTACTATGTATGACAGACTTATACACAAAGTGGGGCTCTTACTATCCCTACACTGCAGAGCAAGAAACACTGAGGCCTGGTCTGTGTGACGCGAGTGAGGAAGTGGGTTTGCGCCAGGCATCACTGTGACTCACAGTGCGTGCTAGAAGGAGTGTGTGCGTGGGGGGGCGGGGGGGGGAGATACTGACTTGAGAGGAAGAAGGGCCAGACCTGGGTGGCCAACTGCCCACGAGGTGTAAAGGAAGCTGTAAGATGACTAATGATTCCAGCATTGGTGACCGCAGGGCTGCTCCTGTCATGGCGGGGACTGGGGTGGGGGTGGGGCCGGGGAGAAGCTGGTGGGAATGTGCACAAGTTGAAAGGCTATTGGGCTGGAGCGGTCCTGCTGCTAGCTTTGGTTAGATGTGAGGGGGGGGGCGGGGGAGGGGAGGGAGGGGTGGCCGGCGTTCAGAGGGATTCCCAGCGTCGGTGGCCAGTGGGGTCCTGCGGTCCCGGGGACCAGAGGAAGTGGGAAAGACACTGTGTTGGAATCCAGCAGTGACAATGCAGGAAAAGGCTGCAGACATGCCCTCTATCCCTCCACCGTCTTCCTCACAGGAAGAAAGCTGGTCATACTTAAGGGGATCACAAGCTGCCCACACACCCCTCCTGTGTCTGACCTTTCACTGAGTAAATCTGAAATCTCAGAAGTGGGCAACTTCTTAACCCATTTCATTAACCAGCAATTACCAAATCGTAAGACTACCCCTCGGGACAGGATGATGTTCCGACTTGGTTACAGGGACACACGGTAGGTTATCTGCCGTCCCGCTTTGGTGGCGTTACTGAAACCAGCTCAGGAGAGTCCCAGCGTCACTGCTGCCGAGGCCAGACTGTGGGGATGGGAGAAAGGCGCCCCTGAGACTCCCCTGCCACCTGCTGGAAAGCCGATGCAATAAGTATAGCATCAGCACTGCGGTGCCTCCGTGCTGTGTCCAACCTACCAGCCCCGTGTGTCAGCCGAGCGAGCCCCTGTCCCTGGGCAGCAGGGCTGACGGCGTGCCCTCTCCTCTCAGCCAGATCCGATGCCGGTACTTTGCGCGGGGGAGTGACCGCTGCCCCTTCAGGTCTGACTGCATTTACCTGCACCAGCTCCCGGACACGGCCCCGTCCTCGGCTCCCCCCGGCCCAGACTGCACACGGCCGGCCTCCGGGAGTGAGATGGTAACAGCGGGGATGAGGGTGGTCATGGTTTCTAACACGCCTGTGACACATGTGAGACCTGCATGATATCTGTGACGGTAACGGAGCCCACTGCGATCGTCAGTGTGAGCCCAGTCCCTGCTCCTGAGCCAGCTGAGGCCGAAGCAGACCGCTTCCCACTGGCCTCTCTCCTCCCAGGTGCCGGGCCCCGCAGTGCTGCTGGAGGACGGGATGTTCCTGGATTATAACCTGGCCGCCGCCGCCTTCTTGGGGTTAGAACTCCTGCTGAATCGCACCAGTTCTTGACGGCCGGCTCCTGCAGCCAGGACCAACGTGTGGGGGGTGGGGCTGAGGGGCAGGGTGTGCTAGGGGGAAGGTTTTTCCCCTTTTGGGGCTTCTAACACATGTCTGTGACAAATGTAAAACTTGTATGAGATCTATGACGTGAACGGAGCCACTAAGTGGGATGGAATTAGCCCCCTCTCCACCTCCGTGAACATAGGAAGGGTGGAGGGCTCTGGGCAAAGGGGAGGGTTCTCACTGCCTTACTAGGGACTTGGATTTTAACTCTGCCCTTTTGTAGAAGGATTCTGACAGA